AAAAAAAAATACATTTATAGAAATAGTCAAATTTAATAGAAAAAAAAAATAATAATAAATGTTAATTTGATTAAAAATAATAAATTAACCTGTTAACCGGGGAATTCCCTTTTCAATTACACAACTTTTATTATTATTTATTTATTGTTTTTTATATATTTATTTATTGATTTATTATTTATTATTTATGTTTAAAATAAATGAAAATATTATGAAATATATATTTTTTTCGTTTATTTATATATAAAAATACGTAAAAAATACTCTTGTCGTATTTATACGTCTCACCCGGTTAACAGATTTAATTGAAACTCATTCAAATTTAATAATAAATTTTGTAATAAAAAAAAAAATAACCTTTTTTTAGTTCAAAAATGTCTCGCTTGTGTAATATGTACAGCGTGACCATTAAAATCATTTAAAAAAAAAAAAAATTAAAAAAAAAAAAAAAAAGATGAATCATCACTTTTATCATTCATTTATAAAAATAAATATGTAATAATATTTATAAACGTGTTATATTTAACTTCTCGACTAATTTACACTCTCTCGTAATAATTTGTCCAAATTTAATTTGAAAATTAATTAAATTTAATATCTTCCTCAGCGATAAGATTTTTTTTATCTTCTTTCTTTTTTGTTTTTTTTTTTATCAATACTTAAATATATTAACAAACAAAACAAAACAAAACAAAACAAAAAACAAAAAAAAAGACAAGAAGAAACAAAATCGTTAATAAAACGATTAAAACTCGTTGTTTATATAATATTATTAATATATACTCATGTGTATATGTATATATGTGTATGTATATATGTGTATATATATATATATATGAATTAGTGTAATCTATACAAAGCTTTCACAGAAAGCAATCATTTCATGGTATTTAAGTTGTTTTTGGTCAATGATTTTAACTGGACACCTTGTACACGATTAAATTATTGTGTTTAAACAAAAACAAAAAATCCTATATATTTGTATGTAAGAGAAAGAGAGAGAGAGAGAGATAGAAGTATGATCAAGAAGATAATTTTTTACGAGTTAGCCAAATTACCCCGTAAATGAACACTTAATGGTCGCGCGCGCGCGCGCGCACGTGCGCACGTATGCATGTGATGATCATTCATAGAATTTAATTATTAATACTAACTTTTTTTTTTTTTTTTAATATGAAAATCGTAATTAGATGGATGATTCAATTAACTCTTGATCTATACTACAAATATTATTCTTTTAACACTTTAATGGCCGCTCACACAATATGTGTATGATGGTGTTGAACCAACCATTAGCTTCCCCCCACTCACACCATTTATTTAAATTAATTCTTCAAAAATATCGTTAGCCTCTGGCAATATTTGACTGCATAGATGTGCCGGCCATTAAAGTGTTAATTTTTATTATCTACTTGTTCAATTGTTGACTACTTATTAAATCAAATATACTGAGAAATTAGGGTAATCATCGTTTGTAGATAACCCCCTTGAGAAATTCTTCAAAACAAATGAAGGTTATTAATACAAAATCTATGAGAGTAGGTGTGTAATGTTTTAAATTGTAAAGAATACTTTGATATTAAGCACCACTTAATCCTGTTAAGTGAAATAATTAAAAATTTGAGAGAGAGTGAGAGACAGAGAGAGAGACAGATAGCTAGATTGAAAGAGAGAGAGAGAGAGAGAAAGATATCATTACTGCAAATCTACTACCATTATCGAATGATCTAATATTCTGTTCTTGAAAATCCTGATTAAATGATTTTAATCGACCTTATGTCTTATTTGATTTTGAAATATCAGATTATTTATCCGAGTGAACTATGATACAATGTGAATGATAAAAACCTAAGGCATTTTGAAACCGATGCTAATCTACTCCGGTCACTTGCATTAACAGTATGTAAAGGGCCAAGCTAGCTTTGGGCACATCCACGCAATCCTCCACTCATCTACGCTTTTTCTTTTTTGATCTAATGCCTTTCTTTGAGGCACCTAAGGTTGATGTAACACAACCTACGCTGCTAGTTTTCTCAACGTATTCCTTTCTATCGGATAATTCTCCTTCGAGAACATCCACGGATGCTGCGTTACCATTAGTATTCAATTCATCAGGTGAACCAGAACGTTCTGGTAAGATTTCTTGATCCGAATCATTTCTTCTTTTCTCTACTTGTTGATGTTCGCTCTCTGAAGTATTGGACAATATTGTTTCCACTGTTGTTGTATTAACATTTGTTGTTTCTTCTACTTTTTCCATCATTTTTATCCCTTCTGTTTCTACTTCTGCTTCTGCTACTACTTCTTCTTCTTCTTCTTCTTCGTTTTCTTCTCCTACTCCTTCTACTCCACCTCCTTCTTCTTCATCTTCTTCCATGATATTAACCTCAACTTTTGTATCTTCTTCATCTTTTTTTATTGTATCGTCATCTAAATTTTCATAGATTTCAGTAGACAATGTACTTTGAATTTTGAATTTTTCTTCTGACTTTTCCTCGACTTCTACCAAAGGCTCAAGATCAGATTCCTTACGTGAAATTTCACTCTCACTAGAAGGTGTATTCTTTTTCTTAAGTATGGAACTCCAAAAAACTCTAGGAGTTGTTGTACTTGATTCCTCAGGTTGTTCCTGTAATTTGGTTGTGGTTACTTTTCGCGAACAACAGAACAATGGTTTTGCATCTAGAGTACTAGTTGAGGTTATCGGATTTGCTATTCTTATTGTTGGATCTCTTGGTTTGGTTACAATTGTGCTCATTGATTTTATACGAGATGGTAATCTCCGATTCCAGATCATTCTTACTTTGTCCATTGAATCCATGTCTATTATTTCAATATCATTATTACTTTGTGATCCACGTGTTACTTCTACATTATCTTCAGTTAAATCCTCGTCAACAAGATTTAGTTCGGTTCCCCAGAATTCATTGACTTCAGATCCCCAGATTTCTTTTACTTCAATATCCTTCTTATTTTTATTTCTTTTAATTTTACACGCTTGTTTACCATTATCAACCCATGGAATATCTTTTGGTTTCTTAACAATCTTAGATTTACTACTTGCTTGTTCTAATGGATTACTCTCTAATACAGTTGGAAAATTACTAGGAATTTTTGTCTGTTGGTTGGACGTTGATACAACAGTCGAAGGATCAATGTTACTCTGAGGTTTTTCATTGATAACTACAATATCCTTACGTTTTTTCGTACCTTTTAATTTTCTTCCTACAGCTGATGGTTGCTCTCCGCGAATAGTTTCTGAAGATTTAGCTACAGAACTGGAACGTTTATCGGTGACTGCCCAATGTTGTGCTTCTTCTGTCGTGTTTTCATCTGAACATGGATTATTCCATGGAATCCAATTATCCATAGGATCAACCATAACGGTTACTTCTACGTCTTCAGTAGTGTTATCCTCAATGACAAAAATATTTTTTCGTCTTTTAATTGGTTTTGATTTGTTAACAGTTCGCATTGTTTCTTGACTGGATGATTTAACATTTAAATTTAATTCGGTATCCATTGTGGTTTTTGGACAATTTATTTCTAACGTTGATGAACAAACATCCGAATGTTGTACATGTTCAAGATCATCATCGGAGGATAATGTATGTTTGCTTTGTCCTTTAGAAGACATAGAACAATCCTCGTCAGATTTTTCAACGTTGCTAGACATTGTTGCTAAATTATATTTATTATCTGTCATCTCTGAAAGTTCATTTATATGTATATACTCAAGATCGTCATCGGATATTGTACTTTTACTATTTTTCCTTTGAGTAATAGGTGAAGAATCAGAGTAATTAGGTAAATCTATGGATTTTTCCGAATTTTCTTTATCAGATTCACGAACACGTAATAATTCAGAACGTTGAATATGTTCAATGTCTTCATCCGAGTGATCAGACACCATAGTATCTTTGATAGGACAATTACTATCTACCAAATGATATTCCATAGAATTAAAATCATCCGATGGAATTGTTTCGTTTTCTTCTTTACATTCGACGTTCATAATATCAGCGGTATTAACATTAGGTTTATCTAATTCTACGAATGATTTATCAGTACTACCACTTGAATGTTCCGATTTAATTTTGGAATTGTCTGTAGTAATTTTCTGATCTATTTTTGAAACGCATTCATCGTTCGATCCACATTGATTATTTTTCAATGTATCACAATGTTTTTTACCAATACAATGATTAATTGTATCAACGCACCGAGTTGAATAATCCTTGACAACAACGCTGTCATCTTTTTCTTGTACAACATATTTGTCAATACGTATTTTAGATTCTTTATGAGATTGTTTCTTGGTAATAATTTTCTCATTATCCTTACTACTTTGATGTCGTGAAGAAGAAGAAGAAGAAGAAGAAGAAGAAGCGGAGGAGGAAGAAGAGGGAAAGGAGGAGAAGGATGTTTGTTGAGCCTTTTCACGCATTAGATTAACTTTATCAGATGACAATTTGTTTTCCATTAATACGACACTTTCTTCGTCATAATTAACGACATATTTAGCTTTAGCTAAATTGAATTCTTGCGTTTCATGTGCATGCTGCTCATATTTGTTACTTCTTCTAGATCGAGCAGTACTCTCTTTGGCTTGTGTCATGGGACTGCTTGGTATCTCACCTTGTTCAGCACAAAGACTCAATCCACTTGGTACATCCTGAAATGCATCCTCTCTCTCAAAATCTATTCCCGCTGATTTCATAGATGCTACTTCTACGCAAAGTTCTTTTCTTTCTTTAACATCACGAATATTTTCATCCGATACGCTGTCAATAGCCGGTTCGCTTGCCGAACGCATTTCTGCACATATTTCTGTTAGATCACGTAATGTCTGACAACAAGATGGTGGCTCAAGATCACCGAGCGAGGCAGGACCCTCTTCTGCGCAAACACTCCTCGGTGCTTCAGGAACCAGACTCTCCTCCGCGGAGTCAAACTCTTGACTAGAGCTGACATCCTCTTCGTCAGCTGACACTGTTATCACGGTGCCAAGAGGGTTGACGACTTTAGTTACTGGCTGACCCACCCTCTCAAATACCGAGCGCCTCCCTGATAACAGAAAAGCCATTGGCAGGTATCAAAATCGAGTTACGTACTTCCTTTGTTTGTTTTTTTTTTTTTTTGCTTTTTATTATTTATTAATGTTACTTTTTCTCTTTTAGTTGAACGTTTATTTTTTTTTTTTTTTTAATCCAATATTTTGGGGATTTTTGTTTTCTTTTCTTCTTCTTCTTTTAGAGAAATAGAAAGAAATTTATATATATATATATATGTATATGTATATATATAAATATAAATATATGTTAATTTATTAAGATAGAAAAAAGAAAAATCTATTGAAATAATATTTAAAAAAAAAAATAAATAAATAAATAAATATAATATATATATATATATATATAAAATAAAACAACTAGATGGAAAAACTATAGCACGAGCACTGCGACGAGAGCGAACGGTGGTGCTGGCAAAGCATAAATAATATGAAAAAAGGACAAATTTTCTAATACAAAATTGTACTGTATTATTTATTTTTTCGATTTTTTTTTCATTTGAAAGACATTTTTTTTCTTTTCTTTATTTCTTTAATTTTCACACTGCACATTGCAAGAAATATTTTACATCAGTGTTATCTCGATGTGTCTCTTTCCATAATGCTGGAATGAAGCATTTCAAGAAGATGTATATTTTCTCGTTTATATTTAATAGGAAACATATAAAATAATATTACAAATTTACGAGTCTGTATTTTTGTTTCTTTGTATTCTTTTTTTTTTCGGAGACTCTTTCTAAAATTTGATAAACTATTTCGATATATATATATATATATACACAGTTAGTGTGTGAAAAACAAAAAAAAAAAATTAACGTACAACAGTGCTTGAATAGAATTTCTTTTTCTATATATATATATATGTGTGTTTTTTTTATTTTTTTTTTTTTTTTATTAAATTGAAAGACATTTTTCCTTTTTTTTAATTTCATGTTTGTGATATTATGTTAGTGATCAAACATAGTTAAAAAAAAACAAAAAAGAGGGATAAAAACGAAGAAGATACCTGCCTCTGGCCAGTTCTGTGTACACACAAATTTTTATGATGCAAGCGACCATCCTTTTAACACTCCGTGCAGAGATCAGAATTGCGTCAATTATTATTATTATTATTATTTTGTTTTGTTTTGTTTTGTTTTGTTTCATAATACAATGTTTATTATTAATAATAATTGTTCATTTCTTTCTATTCGTTAGTTCGCAAATAATTATATCCAATCGAGAGAGTGTGTGATATGATATATTAGTTAATTTTACCAAAGTATTATATATATATATAACACAAATCCCCTGTTCCTTTCTTTTTCTTTTTATATATATATATATATATGTTTAAAAAAATATTTATTAATTTTCAATGTAACGTATATATAATAAGTGTGAAACATTTTGGTTTGTTTGTTTGTTTGTTTGTTTGTTGAAAAGGAGAACGCAATACATGGTGAAAATGTGTACTCTAGCTTTTAACGTGCACACAATTATATATATATATATATATATATATATATACAAAGCTTACTAATTTGATGATTGATTATTTTATTTAAAAAAAAAAAAAAATAAATAAATAAAAATAAAATAGAGCATCATTTAAACAAACACAAACATATTTATAATACAACAACAACATTAAGATTATATAATATAAATAGAGTTTTATATAGTTGAATTGTTTGTTAAATTTAACTATGATTATGAATGTTTTTTTTTATATATAACATGCTAAAATTTATATCTATGCACATCATACATTTACTATTATATTATTTCTACGCTTATATATATATATATATATTTTTTTTTTTTTTTTCAAATATTCAGCTACACTGAATACGACAGACAATATTTAAAACTTAAGAGTTAACAAAAGTATAATAAAATTAATGATTCAAACAATTTACACAACAACAATAACAATCAAATTGATCTAACAATTTTAATTATCAAGTAATGTGAAAGATTAGATATTATTCTTTTAATAATAATGATAATAATAATAATAAATTACTTACCAGGAGCATGATGCGGAGCAATTGATGTTTCCAACATAGCATCTGCTAAATCTTCTCTTAATTGACTTTCCCCACTGCCAACGCCAATATGTTCATTATCTAATGAGTCTCCATAAGCTTCCATAAATCTTGGTGATTGTTCGTAACTACCTAAAATTCATATCAATTAATTAAGTTACATTGTTTGAAAATCATTACTAATTTGTATATATGTGTATATTTTAAATGAACTTACTTCCTGATCCATCGATAACAAGTGGAACTGAAGGTCTAGAAGCTGCATGTGGCATATTAACAGGATTTGACCTTGCCGAACATGAACCTGTAATTCCAACTTCAACCGCCTCTGCTTCTACCAAGTTTACAGAAACCCTAATAATAATTTGCTACTGTTAGAATATTCTATTCTAAGTAAAAATATTTTGAAAAAGTTTATTATTTTATGATCTTTCATAAAAAAAATCACAATTGATTTTAATAATGAATAAACTTACCCGCTAGGTGCGTTATATGTTTTGAAAACAAATTGTGGTCCCATCCATAATCGTCTATGTGGTCCAGCATGGGTTACCATTTCCACTTGACTTAACCAAGCATCTTCATCTTTATCCAAAGGTTTATCTTCAACGGGTACCGTAGGAACGGTAAACAAAGGACTTGATAATGGTATTGGTGGTAGAATATCCGTTGAATTAGGTGACCTTAGAAGAGGCCATTGACCTTTAGCTTCGACATCTAATTCTATCATTGTATCATCGCTTATTTTTTCTCTTGCAACTCCTGTATGTATAACAGTATTGTATTTTTTTTTTTTTTAAGTTAAAAATCAATTGTTATATTATGTTAACATATACTAATTTAATAAAATATATTTTAATGCGTATGTATGTATGTATGTTGCTATTACAAATGAAAACATACCGGAAGAAGGTTTAGCTTCTAGATCATATTGTATCAAATTCCCATGACATGCCATGATAAATAAAGAATCTAATTTTCTTTTAGCAACTTTGCTACCAGATTCTCTTTGTGCATAAATCCAAGCTCTAGATGGAGCAAAGCAAGCACATATCTTTAAAGGTAAAGTACCACTATCGTCAGAATGAAGCCGTTGTCTTTGCTGTGGTCTAATGAAACAATAAATATAAATAATCACAATACTATTTTACATAACGTTATACTAATACACAAATCTAATTTCATTTAATATTAATGATATTCTAACAAAATCATTCACATAAATATAACACAAAAACAACAATTGTTTATGTATTTCATTGAAATCATAAAAATGAGCTTATATATATATATATATCGATGCAAATGAGGATAAAAATTACCTTGGTTGAGTTTGACTGTTGGTATGATTCAATGTTGACGGTTGTCTAATTTGTGCCAAAGGACCCAGACTTATTGGGTTAGGATACGGTGGAAGTCTGGGATTGGAATACGGATAGATGGATAAAGGTAATTCAGAATGTAAAATAGGTGAATGGGATCTGGTACCATCTTCCATTAAGCCTGCACTTCTATGAAATCTTGAAAGTCTATTTACTACGTGCGGAGTTAAATGAGTTCTCACTCCTACGGATCCACCATAGGGCGCAACTGGGAAAACGTGGGTTGTTCCGCGAACTGTTGAAACAGCAGCCCAACGAGTATCAGCTGAGAATGTCATGTCCTATAATAAAAGAAACACACATTTAGTTTTTTTTTTTTAGGATATAATAATAATGAATGTTAAAATAAGAACACTAGAAATGAGACAACAAAAATATATATATATATATAAATTCTTACTTGTACTTTAGCTGTGGTATCTCCACGGTGCAAAATATAAAGATGATGAACTGCTGCTAATGTAGGACCACCAGGATGAGGCTGAATTTTAAATACGTGAAAATCATGTCCGCGTTTGTCAGCGGTCATTAATAACGCACCAGTTGAATCAAAAGTCATAGCAACGATCGCTTCAGTATGGGCAGTGAAATGAGCTATTACTGTCTCTATGGTTGGATCATCCAAATCTTTTGCCTCTTTTGCTGCTTGCAAATCTAATATCGTAATTAAGCCTGGTTGTGTGACATCATTGCTCGTATTATTAGTGGCTAATGGTGACACTGAATTTCCTGTTAAACTTGATGCTACTGTTTCTCCTAAACCACGTAAACCTTTTCCTAATGATTTAGCAGCATATAAAACTGTAGCTGTGTAACTTTGTACGCCTTCACCTGCACAACCGCCACTGCTTCTTTTAGCTGGTAATAACTTCTTTTCGCTGTAATTAATAACATTATAAATATACGTTTCTTTGTAAATAATAATATTTAAAAAAAAAAAAAGAAGAAAAATTGTATACCTGTAAGCAAGCCATCTTGTTCCTAACGCAACAGGATTCAGATTTGGTCCAGGACTGGGATAACACGTAGTTATTGATATTACATCTTCTAATGTTCTTGCATCAAACACTGCTATCTTCTCGGAAAATGTTACAACTATGGATCTTCTATTGGCCAAAATGTCGCATACAGGATTTTTGAACTTAATATTTTTTATTTGATCACCAGTTTTTAGCGAGATGAAGCTTATGTTGCAAAACTGTGGTCCCGGTCCAGCCGAGTCGCATATCGCTACTAATGGCCGTTTCGGTTCAAATAGATCAAAGTATTTGGAATCAGTCTTCGGATTTGGTATAACTCTTAAAGTACGCACTATTCCTTGTCGCCATGATAGAATTTCTGTTGCTTCTCCTGTTGCAGATATTAGCCATATCTATAAGAAAAAAGAATATAATATTAATATCTTAAATGTTATTATTTTGTATGTAATTATTACAAAGATATCATATCATACAAAAAAAAAAGTGTAATAAAAATACAAACCTGTACACCCGTAGAATAACCAAGCACTAACAACAATGGCGGTGTACTTGATCCTTCAGTAAATTCGGTATACAACGCAGGATCATTTACATCTGCATATTCAAATCTAGCCCAACTAATGGATTCTTTGTTATCTGTGTTGGGGGCAGTATACGACTGGAAAAAGAAATTCTAATACATATTAAATGAAAAATTGAAGCCGTTTAATGTAATAATTCAAAATTTCTGATAAATAATACAACCTGCGGAACAATGTCATTTATAATTCCAGCGACGCTATCAATTATTGACCGATCAACTATCGGTTGAGGTGTAACAACTTGGGCTCCTTTATGAACGCTGCGTCTTGGTGAATCAGCAGACATTTTTCTTTCATCGGCAATTATCTTCACTGTTGAGAAAAAAAAAATATAATATTATAATTAATCTCTAAATATAAACAATTAATTCTTATTTAATACTATTATTAATAAAACAAAACAATATCTAAATTATAATTATATATATATATATATAATATGATTCACGTAGTAAAACTAAGTTACTAAATTACTACGTTAATATAAATGTATTAATTTATATAAATAATTAAATAATAATTTATAAATAATATACAAACATAAGAGTGGAGTTACTTGAAGTGTATGTTAAAATCGTTACATTTATAAAGTACCGCCAAATTTAAATCAAGTACAATTACATAAAACATATATATATATATATACTTTTATTATCTCCTTAAGTTTAAAAATAGATGAAATTTAGTATATCTAATTAAATGTTAATTGCAATATAATGATCGACGGTAATATATATATATATATATATATATATATATATACGCTTTAAATTTAATTGTTTTTTCCAATCAAGAATTTATTTATTTTTTCTCTTCTCATAAGATTATATTTATGAAACATATTTGTATTTGACCTAACAAACATGAGATATAGATAACACAATGAGAAGAGAATAAATTCATTTCCCCACAGAGTTCAATGATCTTAATCGTAAAGCTTCAAATAACGAACACATTTCTTTTAATTAATCAAATATAAAAATTATTACTCATTAATTTAATAACAACAACAAATAATAAACACATTACACTGATATATAAAATGAGATAAATAAATAAGATGAAACGTTAACGTATTATAATATGAAACTGTTTCAAATCATACAACACAATTCAACACAACACACTACCTGAATCAAAATATTAACCATTTATTGTCATTTTTATTTTGACAAAATAAAAAATAATTCGTAGAAAAACAAAGATTAAATAATTTGCAAAAGAAAATTAGCTAATTATTTTATCTTTTTCTTTTTCTTCTTATAAAAAACAACAAACAAGAAAGAAAGTGCATCGTCATGTAAACAGGAACAGAGAATTATAATAGAAATAGTATGTGTGTGAAAAAAATGAGAAATTATATTTTATTTTATATATACCACGATTCTCTTCGTAATAAGTTGCATATTATTTGTTTTCTTTCTTTCTTTTTTTTTGTATGTTTATTTTTAACGTAAAAATACACACACACACACACACGTATGAATCGCACAAATTCACGATGAAAGGAAAGAAACAAAAAGTTTTGCGTATAAAATGCGTTTGTTGTGGTTTTTTTTTTTTAAAGAAGTATGTAATATATTCCCTCACACGTCCAAAAGTTATAAGTGTGTGTGTGTAATATACATATATATATATAATACGTCATCATTGTAGTATTATTTAATGCTTAACTGGGAAAGTGCATTGGTAAAAGATGGTAGAAAGGGTGGGGAGGTCTATTTTGCTTGTCGGAACACAGGCATTGCACAATCCAACACAGCTGTTCGCAGAGAACGCACTCAGGGTCGACGAAAGAGAAAGACAAAAAAAGAAAGGTGAGGAGAACGAGAACAAGAGAGAGAGAGAGAGATATATATAGATAGATAGATAGAGAGAGAGAGAGAAATAGAAGAAATATATACAAGCGAAGTAGAGGAACAGAGAGGAAATGGTGGAGGGGTGGGGGAAGAGGAAGGAAGAAAGAGAGAGAGAGAGAGAGAGAGAGAGAAACAGTAAAAGTCGTCTTTGTCCGTGAAATATACTAGATTTGATCGCACGTTTTTATTATGACGCTTTCGAATAATCCAAATATTATCGTAGGCGTATTTGATATTGTAATATATGATGATAGGTAATAATATGTAACGTGACCATGACAAAACAAAGGAAAAATTATATTTTTGTCGTATAATAAAATAAAACACGAACGAGAGAAAGAGACAAAGAGTAAGAGAAACAGACAGACAGACAGACAGACAGAAGAATGGAAATATAGATAAGAAAATGAAATGACAAAAAATGATTATTGTCTTGATTCGTGTAGTTGTATAGTAACAAAGAAAATTCTCACTTTCATAATTATCATCATTGTTTTAGACAAATAATTCGAATGATTAAAATTAAACGATGATTATTTCTTATAAAACTTACTTCGCGACAAGAGCCGTTTTTTTTTTCTTTCGGCGAGGCGCTTGGCACCCTCGCGCAACCGTCTACTGCGTCATTCTGCGAGCTACTGACAACAGAGCCAAGGGAACAGTGATGTCACCCCACCCGCGGTCAACGTCAATCTCTTTCTTTTTTTTTATTTTTCTCTCTTTCACTTTTTATTTTACTGATTCGACCTAATCCAAGGCAAACCTTTCTGCATATATATTATCACCATTAACAACAATGCAATTATGATTCATATGCACAATTCTTTACACAGTAGTTTAACATAGGACGCACTTCTTTGTCAATGACACATTATTTCATTTTGTTTTTTTTTTTGTACAATTTGTTTTCCTTTTTCTTCTTCTTCTGACAGTCTGTCTTTATCTATCTTTTTATTTCCTTCTTTCTTTCTTTCTTTCTTTCTTACTTCCTCTTCCTTTTGTGTTTCAGTAAAGCCTTTAAATATTTAAAGGGATTATAATCGTTAATTATTATACACCGTGATATTTCTTATTGACATTGCTTACTTTTTATCTAACCGAGAGCTTTTATTTTCTTACGATGAAAAAAAAAGAAAAACAACAATCAGCTGATCGTGAATAAATCGGTACGAACTCTCTGAAGCTGCATCGACGAATGGAGGGGGAGAAAGCTTTTCCTTATTGTCTATCTTTATCCCCCCACTCCCACCTCACCATTGGGAACTCTGATTAATGAAAAACTTATTTCTATTGGTTAGATTACGATTTATTTTCGTCCAAATGACCAATCGTCGAACGAGATTTTGATATCTTCTATTTTTTACAATTTAAATTCATTTTATTCGGTACAAATCATTTCTTTTATATTTTTCAATTAATTTACAAATGATTAGAATTAATTATTTATTAATATTTACAAACGTAATTATCGTTTATTTAAATAATTATTTCAAATTCGGTATATGATTCGATTTATCAAATATCGATAGCAACATATCGAATGACGTATCGATTGTAACTGTCGGAAATAGTTTATTTTGCTCATACAGTGGCACACCATCTATGAGTAGCTAAAAGTAGTTACAAGTCTTAGCGAGCGGTCTCTTTCACTTCGTCACATTCTAATTCTAATATTTTAATAATAAATAATTGAATTAAATTAAAAATGGTACGTAAAAAGATTGATAATCGGATACGTGTATTAATAGAAAATGGCGTTGTTACGGGACACAGAACAATGTTTATTGTTGTCGGAAAAAAAGCACGAGATCAGGTACGTTACTACATATACATTTTGAGGTTATACCACGTGTTTTTCTTTCTTTTTAAATAATATATATAAATATTTGTATATATCATTTATTCATGAATCACTTACTATGAAAATATTTAATTTTAAAAAAAATATATTTTACATGCACCAATATTATCAAGTGATATTAAGAAATATTAAATTTTTTTTGTAGGTTGTCTTACTACATCACATGTTATCAAAATCAGTTATAAAAGCAAGACCTTCTGTATTATGGTGTTATAAAAAAGAATTAGGATTCAGTAGTCACAGAAAGAAACGTATGAAGAGTATACAGAAAAAAGTGAAATCTGGTAAACTTGACGTTAAAGAGGATGATCCATTTGAATTGTTCATTGTTTCAACTAATATACGTTATTGTTATTATAATGAAACTCATAAGATCTTAGGTAACACATATGGAATGTGTGTTTTACAAGTATGTATTATTAAACCATTAAATTATTTTGATTATTTTTCTATATTTATATTTATTGTTGGTGTTAATTTTTTTTTTTTCTATTGTTAAGGATTTTGAAGCATTGACTCCTAATTTATTAGCAAGAACAATAGAAACTGTTGAAGGATCTGGTATTATAGTATTTCTTTTACAATCTGTTACTTCATTGAAACAATTGTATACCATAAACATGGATGTTCATCAACGATTTCGTACAGAAGCACATCAGGTTTATTACCATTCTATTCTTTTGATTAAACATAATCTTATCCTTACACTTAATATTATTGTTCATGTAATTATTTTCTAGGATGTTGTTTGCCGTTTCAATGAAAGGTTTTTGTTATCCCTTGCATCGTGTAATCGATGTTTAGTAGTCGACGATCAATTAAATGTTTTACCAATATCTTCTCACAATTTAAAAATAGAGCCCATTCAAAAAGCACCCTCTTCTGAAACACAGACCGATTTGGATGTATTGAAAGAAAGTTTAAGAGATACACAACCCATTTCTGCGCTTATTAATTGCTGTAGGACCATCGATCAAGTATAATTTGTTTTGTTTTATAATTACATTATTAAATAATGTATATTGAAAATAATTTGAATCACAAATTTTTGTAGGGAAAAGCACTGTTAAAATTCATTGAATGTATATCTGAAAAAACTTTGAGATCAACTGTATCATTGACTGCTGCAAGAGGACGTGGAAAATCTGCAGCTTTGGGATTAGCAATAGCTGGTGCTATTTCATTTGGTTATTCCAATATTTACATATCTAGTCCTAGTCCTGAAAATTTAAACACACTTTTTGAATTTATTTTCAAAGGTATAAAAAAATAGAGATTTAATGATAAATAAATCAACAAGTTATATCAAGTAATAATAATTAATAAATGATTGTTTACATTTGTAGGATTTGATGCTTTAGGATATCAAGAACATCTTGATTATGGTTTAGTTCAATCCACGAATCCTGAATTTAATAAAGCTACAGTAAGAGTAAATGTTTTCAAAGATCACCGACAAACTATTCAGGTATTCTAATTGTTTATAGATCATTGTAATAAAATTTTACAAAAAAAAAAGAAGATAATTATAATATATTTTATGATATTATAGTATATACATCCAACTGATACACACAAATTAAATCAAGCAGAATTATTAGTAATCGATGAAGCAGCAGCTATTCCTCTGCCATACGTTAAAGCTATGTTAGGCCCATATTTAATATTTCTTGCATCAACTATAAATGGGTACGTTTATATTTTAAATAATAAATACTAATTTAAAACAACAACAAAATAATCTATCCTTTTACAATTAAAAAAAAAAAAAACCAATTTGATATTTTTATTACAGTTACGAAGGAACAGGACGTTCTTTGTCATTAAAATTACTTCAGCAGTTGAGAACACAAAATGTTGGTTCTAATAGTCATGGAAAAAATGGTAATGAAAATGAAAAAACTTTAATAGGAAGACAATTACACGAGATGACTTTAGAAGAATCTATTCGTTATAAACCTGGTGATCCTGTTGAACAATGGTTAACAGATTTACTTTGTTTAAATGTGACTACATATTCACCAGTTCTTTCTGGATGTCCACCACCAGATACATGTGAATTGTATTACATTAATAGGTAATTATTTAAAAATATTAATTATAATATATTGAAATAATGCATTGATTATATGAGATTATACTTTTAGGGATACGTTGTTCTCTTATCACAAAGCTTCCGAATTGTTTCTTCAAAGATTGGTTGCTTTATACGTTGCTTCACATTATAAGGTAAATTTATATTTATTTTTATTCATATTTAAATATATTATTAAAACATCAAATCAAATTATACTTTCAGAATAGTCCAAATGATTTGCAAATGATGTCTGATGCACCAGCTCATCATTTGTTTTGTCTGTTAGGTCCACTTGTTTCAAATAAAGCATTACCTGAAATATTAGCTGTTATACAGGTAATAACATTATTTATCAAAAGAAATAAATAAGAATGTATAAATAAATGTTATATTATCTATGTTTAGGTTTGTTTAGAAGGTGAAGTTAGCAAAGCTACCATAGCCGATGGTTTAGGTCGTGGTCGAAGAGCTGCAGGTGATTTAATACCATGGACAATCAGTCAACAATATCAAGATCAAGATTTTCCAACTTTAGCAGGTGCTCGTATTGTTCGCATAGCTACTCATCCTGATTATCAAGGAGTATGTATATTATTAAATATTTCATTAATTTATTTCATTCTTTTTAAACACTGTAAAAAGATAAATTTGTTTAAATTGAAATTTAAAGATGGGTTACGGTACTCGAGCATTGGAACTTTTAAAACATTATTATGAAATGAATATTTTTGATGTCAACGAAGAAGTTGAAAAAACTGAAGCAAAACAAACTGAAATTGATGCGGTTAATGACGAACAAGTTGGATTATTAGAAGAGACTATTGGTAATTATAATAATAATATTATTAGGGCAACTGGAAAGTAATGTCGTTTCTACATATGTCAATTCTTATATTGTAATTAAAAATTAATTTACTTTATCGGTCTGGTATTCAAAGTTTGCATGTTAGATGACAAAAGGTTGTTGATAACGAAGTTGATTATGTTATTGATTAAATATATAAATTTGTTAGAAATTTATTCGTTTAAATTTAAGGTTAGAATGCGACATTACTTAATTAATTTATTAGAAATTTATTAGTTTGAATTTAAGGTTAGAATGCGACATTACTTAATTTTATTA